CACTACCTTACCGCTGGGCCAGACCACTGACAACTTGAAAGGCAGCAGCCTCCCCCACCAAGTTTCAGACCTGGCAGACACTGCTCAGAGCCAGCTCCTCCTCAACCACAGGTATTCCTCACCTGCTACACAAAAGGCAGATCCCAGGGAAAGGTTACTGCTCAGCTCTGCCCTGGGTGGTGAATGTGAAGGCCACGAGCTGCCTGAGCCCCCCTCCACACTGCCCAGCCAAGTCCTCAGGCTTCTCCAGAGGACATAAAGATGCTGTGGAGACCAAAGCTCAAAAGCAGCCACCAAACCTTCAAGGGAAAAAAAACTGAGTTCTGTTTACATAAGATTCAGCTAAATCAATCTGAGCAGATTTGCACATTAAAAAACGCTATAATATGTATTTCAACTACATTAAAAAGAAACAAGAAATATATTTAAGCCTCAAATTTTGAGGTCTAAATCAAATTTAGCCATTTTGAGCTTTTAAATAACAAAAATTGCAGTTCAGGAAAAAAAATGAAGAGTCATCAGAAGGGAAAAATAGCAAAACAGAAGTAAAGAGCTACCATAACCTCAGGACAAGAATTCACAACATGAAATACCACTCGTGCTTATGCTAGCAAAATTAATTAAAAAAAAAAAAAGGCAGACGACAGTTTGATAACACTCTGACTGCCTAGAAGAGGCACAAAAATCCTTTAGGCCGAGGACCACATCCTCTTTCACTGCTGTTCAGTGGTTCAGATGCTGCACTACAACAAAACTGGTTGTACTAGAATAACACAGGAGATTATAAAAAGCATCTACCCCACTCTGAAGACAGCTCTAAGCAGACAATCTAATTCCTATGGTTAAGCAAGCATGAAAGGGAAGTGATTTTAAAGTTACAAACCTTTTCTCGCGTTACACTTCAGCCCATCTGATCTGCTGAAATCTATGCTTACATAAGCTCCACTGTCCAAACCTGAAGTACCATTTTGGAGATGGCAAGCTGGCGCTGTAGTACTCGCCTCACAGCTTAGAGGGTCATCACGTAAATTCAGAGCAATGTAGTTTAAGCCATTCTGAAATCCAGTTGAGGTATCCCTGGACATTTTGTTTTCCTGACCATCAGAAATATTTTCATCGGGTTTTAACCAAACATTGTCGAATGAGGCAGAGCTGTGTCTTTTGCTACTGTCAGTAAAGAAAGAGGATGAGGTTGTCACAGTCCCAGCAGAAGAGAATGTTTCAGAACTGTGTCTTCTCCTGCCTTGAGGGTCAGCTCGAATCACTTTCGGTCCTATAGGAGGGTCAGAGCTAGGGACAGAGAAGCTACTGCTACCACCATATCGATCAACAATGCAGAGTCTATTAACGATGGAAGAAGGACTGTCCATCTTTACAGCACTGTCAGATTCAGTGGCAAATGGCCTCGGTGGTGTTGCTGCCATGTTGAATGTCATCTCAGTGTAGTCATCAGTCCTGTTACTTGCCGTGCTAACACATGCAGCACCAAATGAAAGCCTGGCATAGTCAGGGTTTGGTTGGTTTCTAGGAATACTGGAACTTGCATAAATTGAAATATCTGTTAGAGAGTTTGACAGTTCCTTTGCTGCTTTCGGTGACTGCACATCCAAGTCAACACTCATGTAATCAGAGAGTGGTGACTGTCTGTGGTCACTACTTGAGCCTAGAGATGATGGAGATCCTTCTGCAGACAAGGAATATGGTGTGTTACTCGCCTTTTCATTAAAATCAATATTTATGTATTCGCCAGGACTCGCTGGCTCAGGTGGAACTGTACGATCATACATTCTGGGGATGGTGTTACTCCCTCTCGTACCTAGGGGCAGTCGTGTGGGCCTGGTAGCCCTGTTCTGCACAAGTCCTTCATCCGAACCTTTCAACGTCGGCAGCTTGGAGATGCCATTAGCCAGAGTCTCACTGCTGACTCCCTTTACATTTTCTGGTGCACCATACAAGAGTTTTCCAGGTGAAGACATTGGAACATATTCACTGTGGTCACCATTTTGTCCTGATAATGCCTTAAAGCTTCGGGGCAAAGAAAAATATGAACTAAAACCTTTGGAAACAGAATTGGTATGAATATAATTCGAATCACTGGGGTGTTTGGGAACTGAATTGCCAGGTGACATATCCATATACTCGTTGTTTACGATCTTCTCATTACTTCCTTTAGAAGCAAATCCAGTTAAAGGACTCCGTACAGGTGAAGAGCTGCCCTTTGGAAACATCATCATATAGCCTCGGGAGTCAACTTGAGATGGTGACCATGAATTGTTAATCTGTTTTGGAACAGACATGCTTTTAGGAGTCATTGGCAAATAATCGCTGGTGCTGGATAGAGAAGATGCAACTCCTGGCATCATTGGCATGTACCCATCATCCCTGGCTTTACTCCTGCTTTGGTTACACATGGAATCAAGGTTAGTGTCACTGTACTCCAATTCATGGTTATCTTTCAATTTTGGTGTTTCAGAATCTTCATCCAACAAAGCTGTAGTTTGTGTTGTCTTCTGCTGCACTGCCACAGAACTTGGCTTTGTTAGAGAGTAAGCTCTTTTCCTGAAGCATTTTTCAGCCTCCATATAATCATCTCTTGAGCCATCATCTCCCTGTTGCTTATTCATGGACATGTACTCACTCAGGCAGTTCTCCTCTCTGATAGGTGGTGTGTTTCCCAGGGAATCTGGTGTATTACTCCTCACTCTAAAGTACCTGAAATCTCCAGGGCTGGAGCCATACTCATCAGAAGAGATGAATCCCCCATCACTTGGGGAACCACAAACAGACGAGCTGGAAGGCCTGGTCAGCATGTCTGAAGCAGAACCATGGCCACTGCTGGAAGAAACACTGATGGGACTTGTGGTGGAGGGAAAATGAGAAACAGGTAGCGAAGCAGACCTGGTGTGATAAGATGAGCTGAAAGCAGCTCTCACGTACCTTCCACTCCCTTCCTGCCGGCCCAAATTCATCCTTGCAGTATTCAGGTGGATCAGACTCCCAGTCACTGACCTAAAAGGTCTAGTCATGGTTCCTTCTCCTTCACTGGATGTTCTGAAGCGATAGGAGTTGTTGCTTTTGGTGGTAGGAGGAGTGCCTCCAGCAACACTCTCAGTTCTAGATCTTCTCTGCAAGCCTGTCTGGCTGGGGGGTAGGTTGCCCAAGTGCCTTCTGGTGGTGATGAAGGATATGGGGTTGGTACCGCTGCCACCACCAGAAGACTGGCTCTTGCTGCGAGGCCTGAACTCTGCAAAGGCCTTTAGAGCTTTCATGGTATCCAGAAAAGTCTCATGCATATTTTGGGCAACAACCGAATCATCCACTTGCATCCAGAGCTCTCCAGGTCCAATAGAGGCAGATCTGCCCACTTCAATGAAGAAGAAGTTCTCCGAGTGTCCACAGCGGCGAATGTTCATAAGCTGCAAGTGAACAGAGGGCACCTCCGAGTTCAGCTTGACAAGGTGGATGGCTTTGCTGGAGAGACACAACCTGTACACTCCAGTGAGGTTTTTCGTTTGTCCCAAGCCTTTGGGCTTCACGTTGACCTGCCACACCTCCTTGAACACGGTGCCAGGCCTCAGGGAGGCCCCGTAGTGCTCATCATCCTCATCCACCTGCTGATCGGCATGGTCTTCCTGCTCCAGGAAGCCCCTCTTGCTCTGATTCATGAGCTCGCTGATGGCCTGGTACCAGGCCTCCTGCTCGGCGTCGTTCTCGGCCAGCATGGCGAAGTACTCGTCCTTGGTGTACAGGGCGATGATGTGCTTGTGCTTAGCGTCGGCCCGGCGGCTCACGGTGAAGCACTGGTACAGGGGGATGACCCGCTTGGGCGGGGGGCAGCACAACGCGGCCGCCCCGCCAGCCCCCGCCGCCCGCAGGCTGCTCTTGAACTTCTTCTCGCTGTCATAGTACTCCAGCCGGGCGGGGGCCAGGTGGCTCTCGGCCCGAAGGACGAAGTAACGCTTGTGCCCGTGCTTCTGCTTCCGCAGGTACCCGCATTTCCTCACGTCCTCGCCGGCGCCGCGGCCCGTCGGGGGGGGCTGCCCGCCGCGGCCAGCCGAGTGAGCGGCCCGGCCCGGCGAGGGGGCGGCCTCGGGCGCCGGGCACAGCGAGGCGCTGGGCGAGCGCCGCAGCAGCAGCAGCAGGTGGTGCGGCTGAGGGGACGGGCAGCGCCCGCCCTCGCCCGCCGCCGGCTCCCCCTCGCCCACCGCCGCGCCGAGCACGCCGGGCTCCTGCTGGGGCGCGGCTCCGCCTCCCGTGTGCCGGGCGCCCGGCTCCTCCTCGCTGCTGCCGCCGCCGCCGCCGCCGCCCGAGCCATTCATCCCGCTCGCCATCTTAGGGGCCACGCAGGGTCCGGTGCCGCCGGGGACGGGGCACAGGGCGGGCAGCGGGAATCCGCGCTCACCGGAGAAGCGCCCCGTGCATGGGAAGCGGGCGGTGCCTCCAATGCCCCCAGCCCGGTCCGCGCTTCCCCCGGTCGCTCCGGCCACTCGCACTCACGGGCGGCGGCGGCACCGCGGCGAAAACATCACGTGACTCCGCGGAGGGCGGGGCCGCGGCGGGCGGGGCGCCCGGCGCGCGGAGCTGGGGGGCAGCGGCGCGCCGACCGGGCCGCGCGCCAGAGTGGCAGTGGCAGAGCCAATAGGAAACGGCAGTCCTTCGCCAGCCAGCCAATCAGCGGGCGCAGCAGGGAGGAGGGGCGGGCCTCGCTGCGCCCTGGCCGGGGAGGCGGGGTTAAAGAGGACGGACAACGCGGCGGACCAATGGGAGGCGGCGGCCGCCCCGGGCTGGCCGTGATCTGCAGGGGTGTTTCCTGTGCTGGGGATAGAGGTGGGGCCGATCGCGATTGGCAGGAGTGTTGAGCGGTCGGTCCGACAGCCAATCCGCGCCTCACACACACAGACGGGGGAGGCAAGGCGGGGGAGAGGTGTATTCGGCGGCGAGAGTAAGGGGGAAGGCGGGGCATTGAGGAGATGGGCAGGCTGTTTGGCGAATCAGCGCAGAGCCGCGGTGACGAACGGTACCGGCTGACGTTGCGTTCGCCCGGTTCCTTCGGGGCGGACTCCGCCCCTAGCGCGCGGAGCCGGCGGCGTCTGCCATTGGCCGGCGGGGAGGGCGCGCGGAGGGGGAGGGCGCGCGCCGCAGAGGAAGTAAACAAGCGCCAGCGCGCGAGCGGCCGCTGCGGGGGCGGGCGGCGTGAGGGGCTGCGGAGTGCTGCGTGATTCCCCCACAGGGCGCCATGTCCGGCCCCGGGCTCTGCCTCACTCGCGCTCACGGACCCCGCACATCTTCTCAGCCTCCAGACCCCCCTCAAAGCCCTCTCAGATGCTCTCATAGCCCCCACAACCCCTCAGAGCTCTCACAGGCTGTTTCATAGCCCCTCATAGCCCTCACAGATTTCTTGCATAGCCCCTCAAAGCCCTCACAGACTCTCAAAGCCCTCACAGACTCTCTCATAGCCCCTCAAAGCCCTCACAGATTCTCTCACAGCCCTCTCAGCACCCTCAGACCCTTCACAGCCCCCTCAGCCCCCGCTCCTGCGCTGGCAGAGGCAGCGCGGAGTTGGTGACATGCAGCGCGTTGTTTATTTTCCATCCGCTGCTGTGTCACCCTTGTCTCGGGTTCGGGATTGCCCTCTGCCCGTCGCAGTGGGGTGACAATCCACATTACTCTTGTGACCGCTGTGCAATCCTTTGCCTGTGTGATCCGGGCAGGCCACTAACATAATTTCTAGGGTTTAGGTCAAAATACGAAGAGTGAAGAGCAAATTCATTCTGTTTCACAGGTAATGGGCATTTCTGTGACGTAAAAATCTCTGCTCCATCTAGATTAATTGATAAAATACAGCGCTGGATGAAGTTACATGTACGGCTGCCCCCCCCCGCCCCGTTTCAGAGGCAATGGTGGAGGGCAGGGAGCCACTTCCAGTCCTCTATCCACTTCCCCAACATTTTCTTCCTCTGGTAATTAATTCCTCCTTTTGCCAGCTCGCCTATGTCCTCACAGAGGACACTGTCCAAGCTGTGGGCAGAGCACATGGCAGGTCTGTGACAGCCCAAAACCAAGCCTTGTTCCTGTGCTGTGGTGCGGGGGTGCTTAAACTGCAGGGCAGGGCAGGGTGTTGGCCACGGATACTGTTCCTGGTGCCTTCTCACTCTTAATAAAAGCATCCCTGCCAAAGGTACGTTTTATTTGAGTTAGGAGTTTGTGTGTACCAGTCATGTCAAGTGTAAAAATAATCCTTTTCCTGTAATGCAACAGCAAAGATCATTTCCCTAGCCAGTAATTTTGACCACACGTCTCTTTACTTTCTGTCTTGATTTGCTTTCAAGGGCATTCTTGGACTCACTCACCTATGATTCATTATGAGATGACAACTCTCAACAATTCCTGACATCAGCTTCCATCACCCACTTGTTTTGTTTTGGGATAAATAGTTCTATGTTTTCTTTCATTCTGCCTCTCAGGTGTGGGAAAAGATGTTTTTTGAAGTCCAGTAACTCAATTTGAAAGCTGACATGACAAGCCTTGTACTTTCCGTGTTGATTGTTCATGTGTCATTTTTTTTTTTTTTATAATTCTCTATTCACTGCCTGCTCACAGTGTTTAAGCTGCACTCTTTTTGGTTTATGTTTTTACATCATCTAACATGGCCTATTCCTGTACATGATTAGAGGTCCTAAGTGTTATGGCAATACTGTAAACAGGTTGTTACTACAGAAATTTATTTATTCCCAAAACAAGAATTATTAACACTAGAAAACTGATATAGGTTTTGAAGCCATTTAGACATGTTGGCACAAAAATACACAACTCAACTCCCCATTAGTTAATAGTGTCATGAATTAACTATACAATTATATTGCATTGTATTGTTAATAGCCCTTGGTAGAATGAAACTGGTTTTGGAAGATTAATTCCTTTTATTTTTCATTCTTCTCTGCCTGGTCCGACAGTTGGGTGAGGCTGAGATTTCCATAATTGTTAGGGTTTCATTCTGTACTTTTACATGAAAATTTAAGGTGGTTTTAAATGTATAGAGCAAGGTGAACTTTGTTCATTGCATGTGTATTTGGGCTTGTTGATGAAGGATATACACGGGAAGAAGAAGGGAAAACTTTTGAAAGAACGGGCTTAGGTTCTCTTTTTTGTTTATGTTTTTTTTTAGTCATCAACCTCTGGGCTTGCTTGACAGTAACTATGAATAATCTGTCCCAGTAAGAAAAAATATATCAGTGTTTTCTGGTCTCTTTTAAAGTCCTTTGCTCTTACATTGCATTTACAGTGCTTTTGCTAGGGAGTTGAGAAAACGACCTATGCATAATGAAGTCATGCAGAATTTTGGGGTGGTGGACGCATGTGATCAGACTGGCAGGGACCTGCAGAAACAGAATTAATAGAAATGGATTTTTCCACTGGGTTCTCTCCGGCTTAAAAGGAGTGCTTAGCATTCCTGAAAACTTAATTTGTTCATGTTTTCCTGTGTGATTACTAAAAAATACTTACAAAAGTACAGGCTAATCTATAATTTGCATACTCTTTCTCAACTTTCATTAGTAGAAAGAACAACTATTTGTTTCTTCTGTCTTTGAATAGATATTGTTTAGAGTCTTTTGTGCAGTTGTAGAATCAAAATTACAGGTTTCCTGCAATAATGATTTTTTCTTTTTGTAGCTTATATAATACATTTAAGTATACCTGTTAGTGTATTATACCCTTCCATTACTGAGATAATTGTCTGGCTATGGGATTGGATCCAGTTTTACTATCTTTTTTGTCACAAATGATTATAACTTTCACAAACTTCTGTAAGTTTCTTTCTTACCGTTTCTCTGTCTACTTGTCTGGCACATAGCCATAATTCACTTTGTAAAGTCAGTGCCCCACTTTTTATATAGAATCAGCTTTATATTCTTCGCTTTTGCTTACAGAAACCAACATAGCCTGTGTATGGAATATTTCCTTAGCTGTGGGTGCATTGTCTTTCAGAAATGAAAAAGAAATCCAGATTCTCCTCCACACGTCTCTTGATCTTCACCAGACTTGAAGAACCTGTAGTTCTTAGAGCTGGAGGTATGTTTTCTTTATGTTTCATGTATTTGCTCTTTCTACCCTACCAAGTGTCTGCATGAAGCAGGCACTGTCAAAGGCCAAAAATTTGAAACCATTTCTTTCATTACAGTTTCCACAAGTGGCTATAATGAGTGTAATATAAAGCAATTAAGCTATTGGTAGTCATATTGTTGACCCAAATGGAGGGCCATGTATGTCATCTGTGGCTGAAGTATTGAGGAACAAGGAATGGGTTCCTGCAGGGATGTCTGAAATTCTACAAGGAGTGATATTATTCATTTAGTTAAGATATAAGAAGTAAATGGTTTTGGATGTGGTGTTGCATGATTAATTGCTCATTTATTCTGGTTACAATAGCCTGTCTTATGCCCATCCTCAGTTATATCTACAGGAGTAATTATCCAATAAAAAACAGAAAGGAAATAAGTTTTGTTGAGTAGTAAAACACAATTCTGGTTCGGTTGTGCTTGTGACATGTTCATAAAAGAAAAGGAACTGGAGAAATTTCCTCTGCAGAAATTTAGAATATAAATATCCCAGAAGTATTTAGCAACCAAAGGATGTTAAGTAAAAGGTAAGATTCACAGTTTTTAATTGTATGTGTTACATTTTCACCAATCATATATTTCTATACATTTGTGCAAAATAAATTAATGTAATTGTTCATAATGTGTATTTATGGCCCAAACTCTTCCCTCATTTTAACTTTGCATCTCCAAAGTAGCCTGCTCTCATTTCCTTCTTAGCAGTTCTGTTCTCACAGCAGTCATACGGTGATTTTCACAAGAGGTAAAGTTAGCTCACAAAATCAGATAGAACAATGGTTTTAAATTACCAGTTAGCATGGGTCATTCTGCAGATGGGGAAGTGTACCTGTCAGTGGAATAAGAAAATGAAACTATTGTGCCATTTCTTAACCAAGATCCAGAGGACAGCAATACCCTCTGTTTAAGGTACAGATAGGGAGTTCTAAGTTGTCACTTCAGTTTTTGGCAGGCTTGCCCTACTTCCTTGGGCAAATCTCTCCTACCATGTTTCAATCCCTTGGTCATTTAATGGAAATAAAAATTTCCCTTCCTCAAAAGACTTTTAGAGATTTTTTTCTCTAAAAAATCTGTTCATGACAAAGAACCTCACACATTTTGGTATCAAGGTTATATCAAATTATTGTAAAGCCAGCCTGATGCTGGCTTTTCTTCATCCCTATGGTTGTGTAGAATCCACTGTGCTCTAAGAGTCCTCTACATGTGCATTGCCCGGCATAAGCTACATGTGGTCTTATTTCTCTCATCCAGGTTTTCCTTGCTGTGTTGTAATAAGATGCTGAAACCTTCACAGCAATTGTGATGATGCTCACTTATGAAAATGTACATATTTAAATTTAAAATTTTCAGGCACAAAAATTAAAGGCAGGCCTATTAAAGAGTTCCCAGTTTAAGTTAGAGGGAGCTGTGGGTGCTCAGCCCCTCTCTGATAATGAGGATTTGGTTTTTTATTTGTTCCATTATACTCCTTTCACCATCTATCTAATCCTCTCACATCATTGTCTACAGAAATACTGAGACACTTGGTTTCTTTACTGTTTTGTATAATTGGGGATGGTGTCACCACGCAGTGAAAAGAGCCATAGAATGCTGCTTTTCAAACGCATACACTCACATTTGCACAACATTTTCTCACTGGATCATGAATGAATAGTAAGATTATTCTGCCTGTTTGTTTTCCTATTGATGGATAGTTGCTGTTTGGGATATATAGATTTAGGATTATGTGTGATATTATGCAACTCTGCTAGTGAAAGAAACATAAATATGCCCTTTTGCTATACACAGTTTGGCCATATGTCCAGATCATTAAGACAGGGAAACTATTAAAGCAACCAGACTCTTATTCACTAGTTTCACAGATTGTCTTTGAAGAATAGCAGAGTGGAACAGAAACTAAAGATACCCATTTATATAACTGGAAATTAAAATGGTATCATTAATATCAGTTTTCAACTATTTGTGGTAATGAGCAGACAGTTCTGGTTTTGTAAATCAAAAGCTTTTTTTTCCAGACTGAGTGGAGATGAATCTTTCCCACTACCTTCTTTGCAGTACATCGTATCTAACAAAAGGTGTTTTATATCAATTAGCCAGTATGTCTTTAATTCTTTGATTTTGCTCCTAGGTGCTGATTGCCCCCTTTGGTTTGGTGGTTGTTGGTGATGGAGTCAGAATTCCAGGCAATGCCTCTGCACGTGCTGCAGGCAAAGATGAGGATCACTGGCTCTGACTGGAATTGAGCCAGTTCTGGAAACGTGACTGTCAGGGAGGGCACTGTGCTGGCCACTGCTGCTAAAGACTGGGCTGAAAGACTGTGTCAACAGGGTTTATAGTACTTGTAGCAACCTGTAGCAACACCAGGCAGTGGAATTAATTTCATCTTCCCCCACCAAAAAAAGAAAGGCCTTTTTGATGGCCCTTTTTGATGCCCCCAAACAGGGACATGAGGAATTTGAGATAAGGACAGGTAATGGACAAAACATGGATGAACAGTGCTAGAGGGGGAAGAGCAGAATGATTGTGGAGTATTTTGGTAGTTGTAAATGTGATGAAGGAATGAAGGGTGTATTGTCTGTAACTATTGTTGGTGTTGATGCTATTTTGATTTTGGTGCAGGGAATTCTTTTGGTTGATGTAAGTAAAGTTTGTGATGAATGCATATTTTCATGATAATTCTTAAACATATGGTACCCAGAGGTGAAGAATGGAATGCTGGCTGAGGCAGCGCGGTGTTAGTGACATGCAGTGTGTTGTTTATTTTGGTAGGTTTGGGTAGCTGGGCGTAGGGGCTACACGGGTGGCTTCTGTGAGCAGCTGCCAGGAGTTTCCCCATGTCCAGTACAGCCAATGCCAGTCTTCACGGTGCTAGCGCCTCAGGGATGATGTATTATGGAGGGGGAAGCGTGATTATGGGTTTTCTCTGGTGGTTGTCCTTGTTTCCATCTCAGGGAGGGCAGAGCTTGGTTCCAGCAGTCTCTTTCTGGGGCTCCCTGATGCTCCTTAACCTTTCTCCCTGCGCTCGCAGCAGTGCCCCCGGTGTGAGCGAATCAATCTTCTCGGCCTCCGCTCGCTCCGCTGCTCCGCGCTGCCACCCGCTCCCCGGGACGGCGTCTGGCACCGGGGCGGCGGCGTGTTCCCATGGCAGCTCTGCCCGGGGCCCACGGCCGTGCTGGCGGGTGCCGAGGACGTGGCTCTGTACCCGTCCCGTTGGGAGGGCGCCGGGCGCGGCCGGGAGCGCTCCGGACCGCGGGGGGACGGACCGGACCGACGGACGGCGCGCCCCTCCTGGCGCTCCCGGAGCGAGCTTCAGGGAGTGCCCCTGGCTGTCGGAATGCCGTGAGCTCCAGAGAACCCGCAATTTCCACTTACCAAAGGTGCGGTGAAAATACCTTTATCCTTCTGTAAGGAATTATTTTAAATGTGTAGCATGACACCACAGACATCTCGGACAAAACATACTAAATGCACTGCTTTACTGTTTGACGTCATTAGCAGAGAGTGGTTGCCTTTTTGTTAGTATATATGAGTCTGGTTTAATTATTGCAAAGGGAATTAGTGCTCAGTGCTTTGGTGCCCCTCACGAAGTCAGTACTTGCCTGACACGCTTGAGAACACAGGGTGAGTCGGATATGTTCCAGGATGGGACAAAACGTGGCCATGCCCGTTCAGAGCAGCTCAGTGAGAAGTTGTGACTCAGAGGCATCCTCTGAATCATATTTCCCCTGAGCTGTAACATTGCACAAGTGGGGAGTGTGCCATCAGACCCTGCCAGATGGAGCACGTTCCTTCCTTCATGTCCAGCCAGTTCCCTGTGCTTACACAGAAGGGAGCAGAATGATGATTATGTTTGCTTCTGACCCAAATTCCCCCCACTTCTCCACTTGCTCATGGAAGGAAATAATTTCTCTTTGAGGTTGGCTCATTAATTTAGTGCCCTTAGCACAGCTTTGAGGAAGGGTGGCACAGAATGCAGGAATGCCTTACTACTTCCATGCAGAACTCTGTGACCATCAGCTGCCCAGAGTATAGTCCATCTGCACGTGTGTAGATAGGTGAGACATTTTACTCACCTGTGAGCTCTGAAACCAGTGCTTGTTCTTTGGGCACTCACTTTTCATCCTGTAGAAAGCAAATCTGTCACAGTGAGAGAAGATATCAGCAATGCATACATGACTTGCAAAGGACCATTCAAGTTTGATTCCCAGCAGACTTGGCAATAATCACCAATATGATTAGACAAATCTGAGTTGTTATGCATTTTTTTAAGCAAACGAGTTGCACTTACATGGAAACCAACAAAAATACACTTTCTGTCAGCTAAATTTAAGAACTAAGGCTAGCATAATCAAATAATCAACCAATCAGCTAACTAAGCTCTGCAATGACTTCTGACAGATTCAGGCAGCAGATTTTACAGATGAGCAGTGATTTATCTGTAAATAAAATTGAGATTAAAGTACTCATTTGTTAATATTAGATCAGTTTAGCAATGGAAAGCTCTGTTGTTCTTGATGTCTAAAGAAGTTAATGATTCTGGTAGCCAACTAGGTAGGAATCAAGCACTGAGAATTCCTGCTTTGGGAGCAACAGTAATCATTTGTGAAGACTGGCAGTGAATAACACTTTTTTTTATTTCTTGGTTTATGAAAAAGGAGAATCTATAATAAATAGGATAGTGTGTGTTGAAATAGGTTATTTCAGTGTGAAACATCTATACTTTTCTAGTGAAATTGTCAGAGGACTTAACCTGAACCATTTACTTAAGGGACAAATTATGCTCCTGTCAATGCATAAGGAAATACCAGTTGCTCAGTTTAGCCTGTAGGACAGTTTGGGTGAGTAGTTCTCACCAAAAGAGATGCAGAGATAATTATTTTTAATAAAAACCTTTCCAAAACTATCTTAAGACTCCTGTAGATAAAATGTGCAGGGTATTCATTTATATCACTTCATTTCATAGCAATGCATTTCTCATCTTCAGGCAATGTATAAAGGAATAGTGTACAAAAAAATTTCAAAATCCTTTCTAAGGTTCTGCTGTTGCTCCTTTAATAATATTCTGAAGTGTTCACGTTCCACATCTCAATTATTTTGAATCTTGCAAAGAGGACATGGCATTGGATGCTAATCCCTTCAATGGAAAAGCATAGTATGACATAATCAAGCTGCCTTTCATACAGCTTAACAAACAAATTATGTTCTAAATAGGTTTAGAGAATTCATTACTGTTTGTATGTGTAGTTACAGAACAAAATCAAGGGTATACATGGAAATGACATGAATAAGTTTACGGAATGAACAAGTGCAACAGATAATACCCCTATGTTTATTCTTATTTGCATATTTAAAGGCCTGTTGTAGTTTAATAATAGGTAGATGGCAGTTTTAAAATAAATCAGACTGAAAGCAGGTGGTGAGTAAGTGTGCAGAAAAAGTCATATTTGTAGGGATTCCTTCACACAGTGATTGCTCATTTGAGGGGCACTGGCCATAGTACATTCTCTAGAAGATAAATGAAATAAAAGTAAATAACACATTTCTCCTAAAAATCTTTTAGTGACATTATTATTTTAGGCTGAATCAAGAACAGGATAATTTCCTTGTTCTTTACTGTACTGTGAATAGACGGTGTGCTAGGACATTCTGAATGCCCAATCAAACAGCAACACAAGTCAAATGGTTTGAAGAAAAAGAAAACTAGTAAGGACAGCCTCTGTGGGAAGGTAACTATACTATTAGGAGAGGGGAACAAATGCAGGCCTTGTACAGGTGGAAATAACTCAAAATGTCCTTAGAGCAACACTAATTTGCCATAACTGACCAGTGGATTGGGCCATCCTCCTTTCCAAAAAGTTCACCACTCTTAGCCTTCAAATTGTTTTTACATTCTTCTCTTTGGACCCATGTGAAAGCATTAACAGAGGTGAGTAGTTCAGAGGAATGTTACAGCTTCTTCTATGCTGTCTCTTGTGGGTTTTTTCTCCAAAAAGCATTAGGATGGTATTGCTGTCTAGTGAGACAGTTTGGGTTAGTGTATTTATTAAGTTTAAAGTTCGCATTTATAGATTAGGACCAAAAAAAAAGTAAGCCTTTTGATGTCTAGATTTTTTTATCTCTGACATAATTAATGAATTAAGAGCACAGCTCAACTGATTGTTCAGTATAGTCAGAGCTTATGAAACTCAGCCTGCTAACTCTGAAATTTCTCCTTGTAATGAAAACATGTAAATCAATGTTCACACAGTTCTAATATCTTTCACTGTCAAATCCAGTTATATACTGGAGAATGTTGACCTAGTCAATCATTTGCTCAGAGACTGCTTTTCTTTCAGGAATTTGCACTGAAGTTACCTGCACCATTTGAAGTTGTACCCAGGTACTCGATGTGCAACAATTTACAGCTGACTCAGAGCAGCTCAGTGCAAAAAAACAAAGTGACTAATCTCTTTGTAGAACTGAGGCTTTGCAACTTTGCTCTGAGTCATCATGACAGCTCAAAGTGCCTTGACTTAGTGCAGAAGTAAATAGATTTAAACAGAGCACTCGGTTTCAAAACAAACATTACTTCTGGTCCTGTCAAAGTGACCTTGTTAACCCCATTTTATAGCAAAGTGTCATTGATACGCAGAGTAATTTCAAATCTCTAGAAGACTATCAAAGTGGGGCCCAAGAAGTTATGGGAAAATAAGGATGAAAGAAGGAAGGCAAAAATATTTTCTTACCAATTAAGAGTGCCACACAGAGTGGGAGCAGTCATTTGTCTAATAGAAAGACAAATGACTGAACTGAAATAATAAAATGGGAATTGGTGGCATTAGAATATGTAGGAAGAGGTAAGGGAGATATTAAAAAGTTTATCTGTTCCAAACATATTTTAGTCACCCTTAATTATTTCTTCACATTCAAAGATCAAATAAATAAATAACTAAACTAAACAGTAACATTAATCCTGTGTTATTTGGCAATTCTCTTTGTGTTACATATTAATGGTCCTCTTATCTTTATGCTCCTATCTTAAGGGTAAATATTAGTACAAGTGGAGCCAGAATCTCTTCTGAAATGGATAAGTGGTTTGTGACTTTGTTTTCCAGGGCTGCTTTGCCTCAGTGTAACAGGAGTTCAGGTCTGCCAGTGGGTGTGTGTAGTAATGCCCAATATCCAATGCACAAGGCACCTTCACTGGGGAGCAAGCATTTCAGAACAGAAAAGAGCATTCATATACAACTTATCAATTATGGATATCTAAATAGATTTAGTCATTAGATAATCAGTCGTAGCATTGAGTATATTATATAGGGCTTGAGGTAATAATGTGGTTTCTTACACACATACTACTACATCTCTGTAATTAATTTATATATAGGTGTTGAAAAAGATTTTTATAGTGATAGTCTCATTTAGTGTCTCATTTCATACAGGCTGCAATTGCTGCAATAGTGGGAAAAGTACATAAATCTAACAAAACTTCAGAAATGAGCAATGTCTTGTTCTTTGAGTCACAAAATTAGCAAGAGGTAACATGTTCATTAATGTTAAGAAAGGATGTTTCTTTAAATGCTTTTTTGCTTGAGGAAAGATCATGTATTATCTCAGAAACTGAGCAGATTTGGGCCTAGTCTGTACTTGAATGGAAGATGTGTAATAAAAATTTGTCTTATTACGAGAAAGGACGTCCGTGGTTGGGTAGGTTTGGTGGTTGTGGCTGACTCAGTCCGGCAGTCACGCCTGCCCTGGTGGGAAGGAAACATTTCAGTGCTGGAATTGGATCCCAGAGTCATTCGGTGGTTAGGGTAAATTTGGATACACAGTGTGTGGCATTACATTTAGGAAAGCTATTTTCTTGAATTTTCAGCTGTATTCCCATAACAACAACAATAGGAAATGTGCAAAGTTTGACAGTATTAAAATAATATAATACAGAATAAAATAAAATAATGAGATACAGTATTAAAGTAATGTAAACATGCATCAAATATTATTAGTAATTGATATCTTTTGTTTTGTCTTCAGCATAAGTCAGTAGCACAACATGGTCCTCATTACAGTTTCCCTGTCTGCTGATCTCTTTGTTGCTCAAAGACTTTTTACTTGTAAAAATAAGTAGAGGTAAATTGATTAAAAAATGTAAAAATAAGCAAAAGTTCATTGTGTCACATCTACAATCCAAACATAAACCACAAAAATGATGCTTCAAATGAGCTGAAAATAAGGACTTCTAGAAAACTGAGATGGGAAGATAAAGATAAAAGGACAATAATGGCAGCACTGACAAAAATTTGATGGCATTTGTACAGAATAAATTAAAAAATTATCTAAAGCCTGTTAGTCCATTAGTTTATACTAATACAAGAGAGAGAGGCCTTTACAAGGAGAGTATAATCATTGCACTTTTGAAATTGCATTCTTTCTGAATCAAAATTCATTCCGAATCTGACAATTAGGATGTGATGTAAAATTCACCTTTGTGGATACACACTTTTGGAAACACATTGTGGTCCCAAAATTATAATTGTTTTTATGAGATGGAATTTGATTTTTTTCTTATTTTTCCAAAGCTTCTTTGGAATCCACAAGATTTAATTTCTGTTGATGGTTCATTCTGTCATTGATGTAGCTATGAACATTTCACACACAAAAAAATAGATTAATTTAAAATTGACATTGCTGAAGATGAAAGGGAAAGTTAATTTTTGTAACTTGGGAAAATAAAATTTGCATGGAAATTTTCACTGTAAAATCCTTTCCTTCACTCCTGTTTATTTGGGTGCTATCAATTAATTCAAAAACTTTTTCTCTTTATCCAGAAATCCTGTGTTCCTACTCAGCTGAGAAGCACATCCTCTGCTCTTCCATTACAGTTCTTTGTCTAGAAAACATCTTTTCAGTCTTTGTCAGAGTAAATGCCCTGTTTTTGGGTCCATGAGACATCTGGCCCTGCTGCTGTGTCTGGGGCTGAAAAGCACTCGCTGGGCAGGAATTTGGCTTGGAATGCTGGGATCCAGAAAGCTGCTGGCTCTGGAAATTACCCCATTTATGAACTAGTGTTGCACTTCTCTTTAGATTAGAAGCCAAAAAAAAAATTATAATGGCTACAAGGTCTGCAAAGTAGTTTGCCTGCTTGTGGGAATAAGATTTAAATGTCATGAATGAAGTTAATGTTATTATCTATCATTAATCTGAAGACTGAAAAAACAGAACTGTGTTTCATAATATCTTTGGGGAATAGTCTGACAAATAGATCTTCAATTAGGGATCATTTCCTGACAGCTTTGGTGTTTTCTGGAAAGATTGTGTAATGTTGATAATGAGTTGTTGGATTATATTCACACTTAAATCACTTAAACTATCTTTGCCTCTCATGTGGAAAAAGAAACAAGGTATTTTTAGAGGGTTATGATGTGTTTCCAAATTTTGGGGGTGAAGGAACTTGCTATAGAGTAGAAGAAATGTTACTTTAGGTGGTATTTTTCATAGAAAGTCTTACTCTATTTCATGGGAGAACTGACAGAGTATTAGTTTTCAAATTAATATCAGATAATATTATGCAACAACATCATGTCATGATATTTGTAAAATAATTGCTAGCTGGAGTAATGAGTAAGTACCGAAAAGTAAGACAACTGCGTAAATCTGCTCATATTTGCATGGGCAAGCTAAAATATGTGTTTAATTGCAATAATTCTCAAAGTTCTTGTAAACAACTATTACATTTCTTAGGCAAACATGCTTGATATTTTTAAATCTAATTATAAACAGAAATATTTTTGCTACTCACAGAGGTATTTAAGTTCTCTGTGTCTGCAGTCCTCCACTAGAGCTGCTGGAAGTGAATTGCTGCATGGCACAAGCACTGCTGTTTTGGGAGTGGGTGCAGCCTGAACTGGGAGGCCAGGATAGTGTCCTGTGCTTCTGCATGCTTATTTTCTATCTGCAAGCATTGCAAAAAGGGAGGGAACGTTGTGCTTTCATTGCAAAGAAGTTACTTATAGTATGGGTAACTTCCTTGTGAGACTCATCCTTAGCTAGATGGTAAATCTAGAGCAGCTTTGTGGAAAGTAAGATCACTTGACAGAGACAGGAAATACTTTGAAATTTATATTTATGTTACATTAAAAGTTTTATGTTTTGAAACTGGATGTTTCTGTCAGTTTGTCACCTGCCTTATCTCTGAACTTTGGTGCATTCACACAAATATGATAGTGTGTGCTTTTTGTAGGATCACATTTGTGAAATGATTTCTTGATTAATGTGACAGGAAATATTTCTGAAAGTTTGACAAGCTCCAACTGGTTAGGATCTCAAAGCACTGAAAGCTGGTGATGTCTAAACCTGCTTAGCGGAAAGTCAGATATAAATGTATTCAAATCTGAAGGTGATAAAGACTAACTTTTTGATTACAATACCATAGGAAAACCTACCCTGTTAAATCTCAGATAAGAACTGTATTTTTCACAAGCATCTTCTAAAACTTTTTACATCCATGGGTGTTTGCTTATATGAAGTCTGACTTTGTTTGTCTAAAGACTGAAGCAAAAATTAGTGCATTCATTATTTCCATAGCTGTTAGTACATTTTTGGGCTTGATGTTGAATCTATAAATAATGCTAAAATAATTGCTTATGGTCCATCTGTACAAATTGCAATTTTTGTGCATATGTAACATTTGATGCATGAAAATATTAAGATGAAATTGCATTTAGATGTTAGATACTTAGAATTGTAAAGAGGAATGATAGAGGTTTTGGTAAGGGGCTTTCTTTTGTCTGTGATCCCATGAATTTAGGGTTCAATTTGAAGGGGATAAAGGGTGTTAGAGCCTGCCTGTGCAAGCAGAAGCAAGTAACAGTGCCAAGGATTTATACATTTCTCTAAATGTTAAAGCATTGAACAGAGCTTTTCTTCTGGTTTGCCAGAAAAGGCAAGATTTGACCCTTTGGCAGTATCTTTAATGAGAGAGACTCCCCTTCTGAGCATTGCCTGACCGAAAGGTGCTGACACCGTTGAGTCAACACAACTGTCCTGGCTTGTTTTTTAAATATTTGTAGGGAGTTCACAGGTGATAAGCTGACAACCAAGATAGAGACTCTAGAAATGTATTGTTCGTGAACTTGTGTCTCACATGCAAGAACAAGGTTTTGTAGGAGTAACAGTGGGCACTGAGTTCATGAGTCAACAGGCTGGGCAGGAGTGCAGCCTGCTGCAGGCGGGACAGCAGCGGCACTCCAGAAGTCAACTGCTTGCTGTGGCTGTGTAAAATAGTTCAGAATTTGCACGAGTAACTGAATCCAGAAGTAAAATTTCTTTATAACTAAAACATAAAAAAATCTCTTTTTTATTAACTAAAAACTGGACTTTTTCACCAAGGCAACAATATTTGTATCTATCTTGGCCTGTTTCCGCTGGCTCTGTAACAACAATAAAATAATGAGAAACGTGCTAGTTAAAGGTCCATAGAACCAGTCTGGTGTTAGTGATGCATACACTCCCAAAACATAAATAATTATATAAAAGATTGGAAAAAGTCTTAATTGTGAAAATATGTTAAGAATACGTAAGAATGTTGTAAACTTTCTGGGACAGTTTTTATCTTGACAAAACTGCAGCTGAATGGTTTTCTAATATTCTATAGACAATGAATATAAATTTCTAAAAGATCTACTAAAATTATAAACTAAACTGTAAACTAAAATAACATCAATATAAACTATTTAAGTCAACAAAGATCCTTGATTTTTAATTTCCTTTTATGTTCTATGTAAAGATGGACAAATTAATTTTGAGAGGGTTCTGTTAGGGAGATCCTATCTCATATTCTGTGGATGTCTAGAGAACGCAGCATTTACACCTTATAAAGTGAATTTAATTCATAAAGCTGCTGTGCTCAGTTCAGACATGCTGGTAGGATCAGTCCCTTCAAAATATTTCAGCATATTTTATTACTAACTACTTTTCCAATATGTCAGCTATATCAAAGCACTCTTTGCCTAATGGTGAACTGAATAAGTAATTTATTGTCAGTCGATAGAAAAGAGTGGCATTTGAAATGCTGTATTTATCTTGCATTCAGTCATTGGAATGAAAAATGTTATATTAATATATATTCAATATATTAAATGTTATACCTCTACATTTATAATTGATAAAGTAGAAAATATTTGTGTCTCATCTTAAGGAAAACAGAATTTTTGTTATTTCAGAAAGAGGATACAGGTCCCTAATTATAATAACATATTCTGTCTTTCTTCCGTCCTATTGGCAAGTAACGATCATTTCTGTTTTATTACATTTCTAGATAGAAATTCATCATTCTTGATTTTTTTTTTTTTTACTTCTGTAGCAATTTAGCAAGAACAGTAGGACTAAAAAAAGTCAATCTATGAGGCATAACATGTTTTGACTAATTAGTCACAAGTGTTTGTTCTTCATCAGCCATGATTCTTTACCTTATGATCTCTCATTTAAATGTTAACCTGGGCTGGTAGTGTTCCATTTCCAGGATCAGATGGGGTTGAGCACTCTCAGTCTGTGTGGGCAGACTACCAGGAGAAAAAATATACATGCACCTGGTAGTACTGAAAGGATTATTTTGCTTACAGTGATTTTGTTTCTTTCAGTGTGTACAGAATGGAATGTCTGTTCCCAAAGTAAGGACGTTACAAATTCCAGGAGGAGAATGTGTCTATGGCTAAAATATTTAAATATTGAATGTTTTAGTGAAGTTACTGCACATTAGAATGAATAATACTTGCACCTACAGTGTGCTGGAGTGCTCACAGACCAAGCAGTGATTAATTTTCTTCTAATATACCATTTTTAAATAAGATGATTCACATCAAAACTTCCCTACAGTAATGAACTGTATTTTTATTTGTTACCGAAACCAGGCTGCAAGACCCAGCAGAAGATCTTTTCAGTATAACTTAAGACAGAACTTTGTAGGAATTATTGGGTTTGAATGCAGTACACAAATTGAACTGCACATCTGATTTAGATTCTTAACTGTCAGAAATGCCAGTAAAAACACACTATTGAATCAAAGATAACAGATTATGAGTTAGTCTTGAAAGAAAGAAATAAACAAGACCTTTTTACAAGTACAGGTGTGCTTAAGAACCAGATGCACTAAGAATCTTCTGTTTGTCTGTTAATGTCTTACCACAGCTAGCACAGCAATGAGATTGCTCAGTGCCTCATCGCTGCTTGCTTCAAGATGAAAATTCACTGTGCTCCAAGAGCTAGATGAGGCAACAGGTCTGTGATTCCTTTAATTTTTAATCCAGGAATGTATTTAATGAGAAAACATACCCTGTATTCGGTGCTGTATCTAGATTTGAACACCACCACATCCATCATCTCTGTAATTAAAAACATTTTTAAAATGTTCACCTAGAAGGCTTTTGGCAAGGTGTAACAATCCTTTCAATTATCTTTCCCGAATTTGAAAGTAATTTTTGCTTTGAGCTCTTAATGATGATTCCGTTCAGTAAGAAAATCCCTCTTCTATATTTAGTAAACTGTTGTTAACAAAAAACCCACAAGATCACTTCAAACAGTTTATTTTAGAAAATTGCTTTGCTGAATATCCACTTTGTATTCTGTGTATACTGTGAAATTTTCCTTATACAGTTCCCTATTTGTGGTGTGATATTAACCTTGGAAAGAACTAAGTTTTAATGGGAAAAGAACTCAGAAGAGAAGACTGGGAAAGTAGCATTAGAAAAAGCGGGTTTTTTTCACAGAGGAAGCCACTGTGATATTTGGTCAAAAAAAAACCCTAACATATTTGTGAAGCAAGGTTTGCCTTTGGTTTCACAGACATGATAGCCAAAAGGTTCTCTGTTAGGTTAGCAGCAGAGATAGAGCAAGGCTTTCTACTTTGTAAGTATTGGAGTTGTAAGATGTAAGCAAATACCTTTATTTCTATGGCAAGAATTCAGATATAGGATGTCAAAATCTTTAGGTTATTCCATGACACAGAAGAGATTGGGAATGTGGGGGCAAGAGCTGACAGGCAAGAACATTGACAATTTTTGGCACAAGCTATCAGTAAGTTTAACTAACATTAGGCTGCCATTCAGCTGATGCACATCACAGCTTGGCTTTTCTTAAAAATGCAGCTGGTAGTCTCACTGGAGAAGCCTAATACTGAGGGATTTAAAGCCTTGGTCTGCCTTCCTGCCTGCAGAAATATTTCTTTGGAAGGACCTTAGAGTGAATGAGGAAGGTGATGTGAGCAGCTGACACGGTGGTTATGCCATACCTGGGCTGTGAGTAACAGAGGGTCTCCAGGATGCTGCCATGGTGCAGTGCAGGCATAGCTCAGCTCCTGAGAGCAGCACAGCTCAGGAACAGGGCCCTCTGCTCAGCCTTACCACGTCAAAAGCTTTGGCAGCACAGCTGTACTGCTGCTTTGCCCAGTGCCTGCTGGATAAACATTCCCTACAACATCCAGTTCAGGTATAGCACAGGTATTTCTTCAGTGCCCTACATTGTACTGTGGGCAAATATTGGGTTTCAGAAAATGTTAGTTAGGTATTAGTATGTTGTTATTAGATAAAACCCCATAATAGTTCCATTGTAAACTGCCCAGCATTCCTGAGTTTTTGTTATAGTGGATGACTTGAGTTATCTTAAAAAAGGGTAGGGTTCTATTTGGTAGAATAAATTGCCCATCTGAATTCCCTGACACCCCAGGTAGTGCTTTTGGCACTTGAATTAACCCTATAAGATAGGTTTTGAGTATTTCCATGGTGCATTTCAGCCTGCAGGTCAGAGACATCCTGTCTGTTTGACACCACACTGATACTATTAAACTGCATGCTATGCAACTGAGCAAAATAGGATTATAAACCAATAGAAAATATTCTAATTAACTTATGTGTTCATGTCAAGCTTTTTCTAATTATCTTACCTTGAGTGACTTTCTGCACTCTGTCTTCAGTAGCTATTGCTTTTTGTTCACTAGTTAACTTGTTAACTAATGCAGCATTTTTGGAAATTCTTTAATTAGCCACCTAACATTCAAGTGCAGTGTACAGGGTTATGCAAGATCCCAGATAGTAACTGATGTGCAATAGTGATGGCTAAATCAAAGTCTGTCTTAGAAATCCCTTTTTGTGATACTCAAGAGAAAGTATGCATAATGTTTCCCTCTCTTAGAATAATAATTATCTTGAAAACTATATGTGAATTGATCTAGTTCCCATTATTTCATTAAAGAATTTACTTTATTGGGTATGAACACCACAGAGCTTTGGGAAATTAATCCAGATAGCTGTAAACCAGCTAGAGCTGAATCAATAGTCCTCCGTGTATTTTGACATATCCTCTTCTGAAGTGTGATGAGTTGTAAAAAGTAACCCTGATGAATGGTGTTCCACAGCACATTAGCAATTTTCCTCTCCATTTCATAGTTTTGTGATCACATTTTCTAACAATCAAACCTAGGAACTTTTTGCAGGTCATCAATTTATTTGTATGCCATTCTCCTCATTCATAAGTAATATTCAGGCATCAAGTATTGGTTTTGTTTGTGCAGCAGGACAATGCAGCTTTGATATTCGGCCATTCTCATCCCAAACTAGCTGTGCACTATTAAAAAAGGTTCAGATTCATTACTTTGTGGCCATTCAGGTCAGGCCTCAGGCAGCTGTTCGGCGTGGTGGGGAATCTGTGTGTGGGAGAGGGGAAGTTCGGGGACAGAGGGAGTTACATGAGTTCCCTTAAACTCTGGCTTTGTAAACAGAGCTTGGTTCTGCATACTGATTTCATCAGGCAGCCAATGTCAACACTGACATTTTCAATCTCTTTCTTTTATGTCACATTAGTGGAAAGTGACCTGTTGTGTTTGTGGGAGCTTTGGAATCCCGCAGGAGAAGGATCACTCAGCACCATGGCAGTCTGCCAAGTACAACTTGTTCTGCAACACAGTGCTGAGAAGTTGCATTATCAACTGAAGCGCAGTGTCAGCTTGGCAGGAGGTGGGTTAGGCCGGTGATTAGTGACTTGTTGTGACCAGCGAGCCCCCCAGGGCTCTGCTGCCGGTTCTTCCTTTTCTTTCTACTCCTGTCTTCTGTCCGCCTGGCCTCGGAGGCTGCCCCTGCAGAGCTCCAAGTGCCGGCCGCTTCTATCCCTGCGCCGTGTTCAGCATCTCCTGTGCGCTGGCCGTGCTCTATAAGGAATGGTTTCCTAAATCGATAAGTTGTTCAGAAGTCATATGTTTTGTTCCTGAGAACAAATGCCAAAAATGTAAATTTAAATTTTAATTTTATTTCTGCTATCCTACTTTTTTGGCCGGTTTTATTAAGTCAGAAATCCTAATATT